AAATTATTAAATTAGTTAAATATTATATATATTTCACGACACGATAGTTAATATAACGAAGTAGTTAGTCTAATTAACAATTTGGCGTTAAAAAGAAAAAACACATAACACTGTTGACTCTTCTCTTGGTATGTATATTATAAAAAGTTTTAGCTGATAGCAAATAATTTGAAATTCTTTTGGATCATTTTTCCATTTCTTGAACATCAAATCAAATGGCAAATCCCCGCACATCTTATACATATTTTGTTAGGCTCTGTGGAATAGAGCGTGTTGTTAGAGTATTCCACGCATATTTCTATTTACATATTCCCTTGGCTTTACTCACGTTTTCTGGCTGAAAATAATATTTCATCAGGCTGCTGCGTTGTGAATCACGAATCATTTGTGAAAATTGCGTGCATTCGTTAAGTTAACTTGAATAATATTTAAGATATTTTTGCTCAAAAGTCATGCACAGCATGCGGATGCCCCTGAGGGAATACACTTGCTCTCACGTTTTCCGTGCTTGCTGTGACTGATATATACATACATACATATATATATGAATGTGTATATATGGCATCTCTGCCTATGGTGCACAGGTCACTGCATCTCCCTGGCAGCCAAACCATCAGCTGCCATCGAATTCCCCATCTACAGATCCTTCTTGTTTGGCTCTGCACTTGTTAGCTACTTGTTTAAGCAATTAGCAGCCGCTAACAGTGCCTCATGTTGCACAGTGTTCATGTTGCTGTTGCTGTTGTTGTTGTTGTTTTGTTGATGCTCGCCGAGCTGAACTTTAATTAAATGATTTTTAGCTTCGCCAAGTTGAACGAATTGTTTAGTTCAGCTCTGTCCATGTTGGACACCATACGAGCTAAACTTTTGCTATTTACACGCATTGTTGTTGTCGTTGTCGTTGTTGTTGTTGCTGCAGCCAAAGTTCGCTGAACGTTCGTTCGTTTTGGCCCCACWGTGGCGGCCACTTCATTAGCCGTTGTGGCGCCAAGCCTTATGCTAAGGCAAACTGCATCAAATTAAATTCACTGCAGTTCTTTGAGTTAGGCAACTGCTGCTCATAAGCTTCAACTCTAATTTATAGCTTCAGGTTATCGAATAGTTGAAATTAAACAATGTATTGAGTATAAAGTGAATGTTGATGGTGACTGATTTAATTTGATGGCATTATGCAAAATAAAACCGGAAAGAACTGTGATTAAATGTAAAAATATTATTGAATATATGTAGATATTGATGTAGTCATTCGATATTTAGCTTTTATACTGGACTCACTCTCTATGTGGTATGTATGTATGTATATATAGTATATAATAAGTGAAAAGTGCATCAGTAAAAATTCAATTATATATTAATTTATTTATTAAAATTATCGCAAAGCGAAGTATTTGAAAAAGAATTTTATGTAAATATATTTAAAATATATTTTAGAAACAATTGCAAATATACGTTTTATAAATAAATTTATAAATATAAGCTCAAGATTTACTGTATTTTATATAGAATTAATACTTTAATTAATTGGAGTTAATACACTAATTATTTGCATATAAAGGACAGGGAATCTTGAGCTTATATATATATACATATATGTTTATTTTAAATATATATATCTGGCATTGTTTTTATTAAAATATTGTATGTATCAAGCTCGTTTATCATACTCGCATTGCTATTTTCATAAACACAGCTATACATAATCGCAACGATGAGAGCTCCCCTCGATAGAGTCAACATCTATAACAGCTAAAGGTGTTAAACATATACATATATGTATATACATATATATGAAGCACAATATTTCGTCTTTGGTTTTCTTTTCAGCTTTAGCTTTTCAAATGCTGCAGCTGGTTGCATGAGTTAGGGTGTATCACCCAGTGGGCAATGCCCGCCCAGAGCCACTCTTAAAAGTTTTATGAGAAAATATGAATGCGCATAGGTGAAAAATCTGAATGGGCGCACGCCTGCATACACGAAATAAATATTTATTTGCATTCATGTTGATATATGTATATACTTTAAAGTCAAATAAAACGAAATAAAAGCGAATATTTCAAGCAACACTTTCTATAGTTGAATTTGGAGTTGAAAATAAATTAAGATATTTGACATTTCAATTGAAAATCTGAATACTTGACATGAATATGAATAGTGCATAAAATCTGATAACAGTTATTTGCAATAAAAACGTCCCTCACACATTTATATTTCATTCTCAGAC